ATATGATCTCTCCCAGTAACTCCAGTTAAGACTCTGGCAGCAGCATTTTGGATCAACTGAAGACGTTTTAAAGAAGTATTTGGACACCCAGATAATAAACCATTGCAATAGTCCAGTCTAGACATGACAAATGTATGGACCAGTTCTTCTGCATCATCTTTAGATAAGATTTTTGTAATTTTAGTGATATTACGCAGGTACTACTACTACTTACTACTTGTACTACTATTCCTACTTTGTGGTTTTTCACTTATCGCGTGGCTTCAGGGTACGGATCCCCTGCGATAAACGAGGGACTTCTATATTTGAAACAATCACAGGCTCAGTTCTCTAACCTGTAGGCCACTTCCACCCCATAATTACTCCTGAATTTTTGTGATTTTTTTAAACATACTATTTATTTAATATTTCATAAACCTCTACAATCAGTGGGGGTTTTAGTACAATTTCTCCTTTGCTAATTATAGAAAGTCTTTTTATTCATTTATAACTGAATCTCCGTCAAATGCAAGTGATAACACAGATTCGTAGCCTGACGTCTGAGAGAAATTAAGGGTCAGCTGGTTGTCCATGTTTGTGCTGACCTGTAGGTGGGACAGCCAGTTCAGGACCTCATGAAAATTACTACTTGATTGTTTCTGATTTGAACAAGTCTGAATAAGTTGCAGGGTTGAGATGTCTCCTTTCACTAAAGACCAAACAGAAACACGTTTCATTGTTCACCTCACATCATGTAAAAGCTACTATTAACCAATGAAGCAGTTTCTACTTACAGTCAGGGAACAAAATGTCCATGCTGCTCCGAAGAATTTCTGTGGATTTCATTATGTCCTTGTCCAGCTTCTCAATTTCTCTGCAGATTTTTGCGTCTACTTTTTCCTCCTTTTCATTTTTCTTCTTATGACCAATACCCTTGACTTGGCTTTTTATCATGTCACAACTGTCAACCATTGAATTAATACAACAGAGTATTTTTAAAATAAAGAAAGGAAAGAACACTCCCTCCCAGCAGAATACTTACAGGGGGACTTCGATTTAGTGCTCGATGTAGTTTCTCTGATGTGAGCTTGTAATTCAAGGAGGGTTTCCCTGAAGCCAATCGTGAGCTCCAGCTCCCTCCGTTTGTACTCCCTTCCTAGTCGTTGCTTCAGGACGTGCTTCAGCTGCCTCTTACTGAACTTCTCCGAGATTCTTTCATGGACCTCCTTTGTGTCAGGACAGAATAGCTTGCCTCCATTTCCTGCCACCAGTTCCTCTATCTTCTCAAACAGCTCTACAACCTGACTCAGATCACTTTTTGTCATATTGTTAATTACGTGGTACTTGTTTTCACACTTGTCCACCAACCAGCGCAGAGCGGGAGTCTCCCTCTCGATGTGCTCCTCTACACACCTGTCTTATTTACTGTCTGAGAGTTTTAAAAACACGACACCCGTTCTAACAACTTGTTTTTGACTGTCTCTGACTTTTGACCGACATCACTCTTTCTCATTTCAGACAGAAGATCAAAATGCATAATTACTTTGTAAAATAGATATTTAACTTGATTTCTAATTTAAATGAGGATTAAAAAATCATTAATACTGTTTCACAGTTGATTTAAAATGAGTGGTTCACTTCAACATTTAGAAATGATATGAACTAAACACACTTTTGATTATCAAGATATTGTAAAATAGTAATGATAATATAAAAAAGAGAGTGTTCTTTCAATTGATTAGTTCAGGATACAATTAGAAAGTCTCTGGATGAGCTAATTTGTATTTCTGGATTCAAATCAATGAAATAACAGTTCCTGTCCCATGAAGGTCTTCAGAGGCAGGTTTTGGTCTGAGGCCTAGTCCACTACACCCCTAACGGACACAGCAACAGACCTCGAACAATTTCTGTGTCCATCTTTTCTGTGCAGCAGGATGACTCCTGCCACCAGCCTGGGGTGTGGATTACAGTGACCTGTTGACCAGCAACTGTCCCGTCCCCTACAACGCATTGCTCATTGTGACGGGTACTGAACACTTCCTTCCTCAGGATTGTATTTCCTGTCGCACTCTTCCCAAAATCTTCTGCCCAAGCATCACAATCCTCAACTGAGGCAACTTATTGGAGACTGAGGAGAAAATAAATGTCATTTCATTATTAAATAAAATAATCAAATGCAGCAGACAGCACTTTAATGAACATGACCATGGAATCACTATGTAAATTTAGCAGTTTGGAGCTTAACACACTACTGACTAAACGATTCAGAAACATACCTATGAAGCGTTTCCTTTTGACCTTGACCTGTTCTTGCCTCAGTATTGCTGCCTCCTCCGTTCTTTTCCATCTCTCTTCAATGGTTTTAAATATTTTATCATCTGGAATAAAATATTCCCAGACATTTTCAGCAATGGTCTCAGTGATTTTCTCCAGTAGCTCTGTGACTTGTGTGCTATCCTTTGCATTCTTGTTATTAATGACCTGATACCTGTGTCCACATTGTTCTGCTAAAGTCTGTAGGGCCTCCCCCTCGCCTTCTATGAACTCTTCTATAGGTTTTGTTCCCAGCCAGTCTCCTTTGGTAAAAACTATAAAAGTGTGTTTCCATACAGCCTCTCCAAGAAGTTCCACATGTGTTGTAACTGCGACCAAGTTTTTGGCATTGAAGGATGCATCAGCATCTATTACTAGCAGGAAGACGTGGGGTCCAGGGGGGCACGAAAACACGCTGCATGTTATCTCGTCTTTCATTGCTTCTGGAGTGTCAAACACAGGGAAGCCCTTCCACCATCCTGGAGTGTCAACAAAAGTTACTTTGGTTTTATTGACTAAACCAGACCAAACCACCAAGTTGGTTGTTCGTTTTCCATCTTCTTCTTGTTTAAAGCCCAGGATGGTGTTCCCCACTGAAGTTTTCCCAATATTTCGACATCCTAATAGAATCATCTGGAGTTCAGGGATGACTTATTGTCTTCTGAAATTAGACAAATTTTAAATTGTAACAATTCAAAAAAGTTATTGAACTAATCAAACTAAGATTTAAAAAATGATGTAGTGAGTACCAGTAAAGACATAAAAGCTGGTCAGTAAAAAACTTTGTAAAAACTTGCATTAACATAATCCCATTAACAGAAACATTTGACCATAAGAAGAGACGCATTAAAGAAAGCAATAAATCAAACTTTTATTTTTCCATATAGAAAAAATGAAGTTAAAATAAAGAGTCCATCAAAAAGCTGCATCTTCGTTTCAACCAGTGGTCCTGAAAACATTTGTCCCAACAGATTAAAATCAAGATGTAACAAAGTGTAAATACTATGTTCACAGTAATAAATATTCAAAACAAAATCTTTTATACAGAGACATTATATATATATATATATATATATATATATATATATATATACATATATATATACATACATACACACATTTGTGTAAATATATGTGTTGATAAATTTGTATACAGTAAAAAGGTACCTTCAAGTTTATCAAATAAAAGGATTTAAATAAAGTGTCTGAAAAGAGAAAAATGATTGCATTGTGTCATTTCCAAGGCCTCAGTAAAGATGGCCGCTCAGACGGAGTAATAAATTAAACATAGGGTCATCTAAAGGTTATAGTGCATCTCTGTAAATCAACAAATAGTGCACGTTTGTTGCAACTTGTAGCAAAGCTGATGTGAATCAGAAGGAATGACAACAACCAGTTTGTGGAGCTCCTCTGAGCATTTATCTGTCTACAAAAAACAGAAAAGCTTCACATAAATAAAATTGTGGATCAATTATTTGAGAAATTAATAAATAAAGGAGAAATGTCCATGCTGCGTTCCCTCAGCTCTTTGAAAGTAACTGCTCTTTTGATGCATAGAAATGGATTCTGAGGAGCAGGAGCCGAGGGAGGGTCGTTACTGTCGAGAAGCAGTTCTGAGACACTGCATTAATGCAGCAAAGCATGATGGGTACATGTCTGCCTTCAATGACAGAAATGGGAGCTCACGCTTCCTGTTGGCCTGCAGGTTGCAGTGTCCTCCTGTCCCAGGCTCAAACCTCTGCTCCCAGCTCCGTGACCCCAGTCTCAATAACAGGAACTAGCTTATCGTCCACCTGGACCAGCAGGATGGTTCTGTTGAGGTGGGAACGGCTGGCCGGGTCTCAGCTACAAGGCACCCACCGGTGAACCACATGTCCTTCCATGCCCTCAGCAGGACTCCAGTCCCTCCAGCAGGTCCGACCGGCCCTCAGTCTCAGGGTCTCATCGGGCCACTGGAGCTCCTTCCTCTTCGGGAGATTGATGTTCTCCAACACCTGACTCACGTCCACGATCTGCACTCTGTAGGAGATGTCGTCTCTGCGCACGGTGGACACGGTGGGGTTGTGCTGCTGCGGGCGGTAATGACAGTGATGAAGCTGGCTGAGGGGGTCTGTGACGGTGCTGCAGACGCCTTCGTTACCCAGGAGCCCCACCAGCGTGTGGCGTTTGCAGGGAGGGATGCTGTGGCTGGAGAGAGAGGACGAGGGGCCGGCCGGGTCGGACCCAGGGCCCAGTCGCAGCTGCAGGGAGGTGGGCAGGGTGCGCAGAGACAGCTGGCTGGTGGAGGAGCGGCGGCAGGGCTCCAGGCCCGTGGTGGAGGTGCGCAGTGAGGAGTGGTGGCTGCTGCTGTAGCGGTACAGGGAGGACTGGCTGACCATGGAGGCTCTGGCAGGGGAGTGGCACACCAAACTGGACTGACTGGGAGCTCTGGCTGGTACCCAGAGAATGTGGTTGGTACATGTAGGGCGGAGCTGGTCCAGAGTTTCCACTGTGGGAGCCCGAGCTCTGATGAGAGTCTCCGCCCGTCCCGTTCCCACTGCCGCAGGGCAAACCGCCGGCATCAGAGTCCTCCATGTTTCCTCCGCTGTTGCAGCCGGCACCGCAGCCCTTCCTTAACCTGTGCCAGGTGCTGACAACAAAGCTGTGGATGTTTGCGATGCTGATGGCTCCTCCCAGGATGTGTCGAAGCTGCGGGTGCGAGTTGCAGTAGGAGGTGGTCAGCGGAGACACGTAGATCGGATACCCAATGGGCTGGTCGCAGGAAGAATTGATCATGTTGCGCAGAGCCTGCTTGGCGTTCTGGATGCTCCCGCGCTCCGGGTTTCTGTTCCTCAGAAACACCAGCTCCTGCTGCTGGCCCGCCCAAAGGCCCCGCACACATTCTTTATTTACCTTGATGACGCGGAAGCTGAGGTATCGTCGATTGAGCATGATGATTTTGTACTCGTTCGTGCCTTCGTCCAGGACGTGACGAAGGGCGAGGAGCGACGGGGCACTGGACAGCACGGCGCTCCTCCAGGCTGGGTCGCCCTCGTGAGCGATGACCAGGTTCTGCTGGTGCAAGGAGATGGCCTCGTACAGAACAGCTGGTTCGTCATACTCGTCGGGGGATGTGAAGTGGTCCTGGTGCAGCTTAAGAGACATTCGGATTCCAGGCACCACAACCTTCCTGAGCAGCTCCATGTCTGCAAAGACCCACTCATCTCGCACTGACGCGATGCGGAAATCTTTAAATAACACATGGAGCCCGTAAAGGAAAGACTCCAGGTTGCTGGACATGTGATGGGCTGCTGTCCCCAGGGCCCTCCTTCCCAGCACACACAAACCGAAGCACAGCAGCACCAGAGCCGAGTCTTTCTCACTGTCCAGGGGCTTGTCTCTTTGAGAGTTGCAGTACTGAATCCAGCTCAGGTAAACCCCACAGAAGCTGTCCCTGGAGATGCCTGCGAGCCGATGGTCATAATCCTCATCTATGTTGGGATTAAACGTGGGGTCCAGGTCCACGTAGTTCCTCTCTGCACACCCTCGCAGACCCTCCTTCATGGTCTCGTTAGCAAGCCACTCCTCCAGTTTGGGCGAGGCGACCACATAGTAAATGATACCCTTGACGTAGTAGGTGGTGAGGATGCGCCTCAGGTCAAACACCTGCAGCATGGAAGCGGCGCTGTTGTCAGTGATGCTGTATCCTTCCAGAACATAGTTGGTGACCAGAACCTCCCAGGCCAGACAGCGCTGGCCAAACGCAATTAATAATTAAGTAATTATTAAGAAAAAACACATTTCTTCAGTATAAATATCTTTAATTTAATATTTTTGGAAGGAATATATATATATTTATATTTATATATATATTGGCTGGGCGTTCCCCTGATTACAATGTTTGCTTAGATAAAACAACACAATGGATCCATCTAAAGGGTACGTATGAAGACAGGTCGGTGGTTCCAGTAACAAACGGCGTAGCACTGGTTTTACG